TTAAGAATTAATGCTTGTCTTTTCTCTGTCCTTTTGTTCTACCAACCATAACCAATATTTGTCCTCTAAGCTATACAAAACCGTATCTTTTTCTATTCTTTTATTCTTTACTTTGGGGACTAATTGAGAGTAATCTCTTATTTTGGGGGTGGTGAGAAAATCAGGAAAAATCATGAGTTTGTGATGTGAGTTCTTCTGTACTCTTCTGTTCCCTAAAGAAGGGGTCTTATTCCACAGAACCTAAAACTGTGGGCACAGGTGTCTTTTCGGAGGCTGATAATCTACCAAGTACCATTCATGGAGATAACCTAGAACCCCTTAACAGATGTACCCCATGTCAGTTCAGTGTCCAAATGGGTTCCATAGCATTGAGAACAGGGACTGTCTGTGACATGAACTGATTGGCCTATTCTTTGATCACCTCATCCCTGAGGGGAGAGCAGCCTTACCAGCCCACAGTGGAACACAGTACAGCCACTCCTGTTAATAACTGATAGACTAGGATCAGAAGGAAGGGGAGGAATAGCTCCCCTATCAGTAGACTTGTGGAGGTACATCAGTGGAGAAGGGGAAAGGAGGGTGGGATTGGGAAAGGAGGAGTGAAGCAGCTACAGGGGGCCTAGAAAGTGAACAAATTGTAATTAATTGAATTAAAAATGAAAAAAAGGAAGAAGAGCTCTCATTCCAGTACTGTTACTTTAGCTTAGTTCCTCATCTTTTTTTGTTTTCTTTTGTTTTGTTTTGTTTTGCAGTGTTCTAGAATCCACCTTTAGTTTCGTCTTTCCTGAATCTGGCATTGTTAATGTAGATGAATCTTGGTTACAGGCAAGGAAGGAGCCAGGTATGACTTGGAAATAGTTTTCACGACACTTGTGAACCACTTTCTGGCCTATAGAGGAGGGTCCAGGACAAGCACAGTTCATGATTCAGGGAGTTACCATACCTGAGACATATGAGTTTAAGCTAAAGTACAAGGATGTTGAAGACTTACATGTTTACTATGGTCATCTTCTTTAAAATTAATACTTGTCTTTTCTCTGTCTTGAGTTCTGTCAACTAACTCACTGTTTGTCCTCTAACCTATACAAAACCATCTGGTGGTTTTTCTGATTCTTTGTTTGTTTGTTCTTTACTTTGAGTTCTACTTGAAACTAATGACTTATTTTGGGGGTGGTGAGATAATCAGGAGACATCAGTTGTTTGTGATGTGTGTTCTTCTGTACACTTCTGATCCCTAAAGAAGAGCTCTTATTCCACAGAATCAAAAAATGTGGGCACAGGGGTCTTTTCTGAGACTGATAGTCCACCAAGGACCACTGATAGAAATAACCTAGAAGCCCTGAACAGATGTAGACCATGGCAGTTAGTGTCCAAGTGGGTTCCACAGTATTGGGACTAGGGACAGTCTCTGACATGAACTGATTGGCCTATTCTTTGATCATCTCACCCTGCAGGGGGAATAGCCTTACAAGGCCACAGAGGGAGACAGTGCAGCCACTCCTGATGAGACCTGATCGACTAGGATCACAAGGAAGGAGAGGAAGAGCTCCCCTATCACTGAAATTGGGGATGGACATGAGTGGAGAAACGGGAAGGAGGGTGGGATTGAGAGAGGAGAAAGGAGGGAGGTAGAGTGGGCTAGAAAGTAAATAAACTCTAATTAATTGAAAAAAAGAAGAAAAAAAAGAAGAAGAAAAAAGAAAAAAAAAAGAAGAAAAGCTCTCATTCTAATACTGTTGCTTTAACAGAGTTCCTCACTTTTTTTTTTTTTTTACAATGTTCTAGAAACCATCCTTTTTTTTCTTTTCTTGAATCTGTCCTTGGCAATGTAGATTAATCTTGGTCACAAGCAGGCAAGGAGTCAGATATGACTTGGAAACAGTTTCAGAACACTTGTGAACCACTTTCTGGCCTATAGAGGAGGATTCCAGGACAATCATGGGACATGATTCAAGGAGTCATCATATCTGAGACATACCAGTTAATCAAAGCAAAAGTACAGGGAGGTTGAACTTACAGGTTTACTATAGCCAACTTCTTTAATAATTAATACTTGTCTTTTCCCTGTCTTGTGTTCTAACAACCATAACAATTGTTTGTCCTTAGAGCTATACAAAACCCTCTCTTGGTTTTTCTGTTTCTTTGTTTGTTCTTTACTTTGAGGACTATTTGAAACTAATCACTTATTTTGGGGGTGGTGAAATAATCAGGAGACATCAGGTGTTTGTGATGTGTACTCTTCTGTACACTTTTGATCCATAAAGAAGAGCTCTTATTCCACAGTGTTCTAGATTCAGTGTTCTAGAATCCTCCCTTTGTTTTGTCTTTCCTGAATGTGTCCTTGGCAATGTAGATGAATCTTGGTTACAGGCAGGGAAGGAGCCAGGTATGACTTGGAAACCGATTTCAGGACACTTTCTAACTACTTTCTGGCCTATAGAGGAGGGTCCAGCACAATCACGGGTCATGATTCAGGGAGTTACCATACCCGAGACATTCAAATTAGCCTAAGCTAAAGTACAAGGATGTTGGAGACTTATATGTTTAGTATGGCTAACTTCTTTATTCCTATTTGTCTTTTCCCTGTCTTGTGTTCTAATAACCATGACCAGTGTTTCTCCTCTAAGCCTTGCAAAGCCATATCTTGGTTTTTCTGTTTCTTTGTTTGTTTGTTTGTTTGTTCTTTCCTTTGAGGCCTAGTTGAAACTAATCACTTATTTTGGGGGTTGTTTGATAATCAGGAGACATCAGGTGTTTGTGATATGTGTTCTCCTGTACACTTCCGATCCATAAGGAAGAGCTCTTATTCCACAGAATCAAAAAATGTGGGCACAGGGGTCTTTTATGAGACTGATAGTCCACCAAGGACCATTGATGGAAATAACCTAGAATCCGTTAAAAGATGTAGTGCATGGCAGTTCAGTGTCCAAGTGGGTTCCATAGTGTTGGGAACAGGGATGGTCACTGACATGAACTGATTGGTGTTCTTTGATCAACTCCCCCCGATTGGGGAATAGCCTTACCAAACCACAGAGGAAGACAGTACAGCCACTCCTGATGAGACCTGATAGTCTAGGATCAGAAGGAAGGAGAGGAAGAGCTTCCATATCAGTGGACTTGGGAGGGACATGATTGTAGAAGGGGGAAGGAGGGTGGAATTGGAAGAGGAAGAATAATGGAGTACAGGGTGGCCAGAAGTGAATAAACTGTAATTTATTGAATTAAAAAAATGAAAAAAAGGAAGAAGCGCTCTCATTCCAGTACTGTTGCTTTAACAGAGTTCCTCACCTTTTTTTTTTTTCAGTGTTCTAGAATCCTCCCTTTGTTTTGTCTTTCCAGAATGTGTCCTTGGCAATGTAGATGATTCTTGGTTACAGGCAGGGAAGGAGCCAGGTATGACTTTGAAACAGTTTTCAGGACACTTGTGAACCAATTTCTGGCCTATAGAGGAGGGTCCCATACAATCACAAGTCATGATTCAGGCATTTATCATTCCTGCGTCATACTAGGTAGTCAAAACTAAAGTACAAGTATATTGAAGACTTACATATTTAGTATGACCATCTTCTTTAATAATTAATGCTTGTCATTTCCATGTCTTGTGTTCTACCAATCATAACCAATGTTTGTCCTCTAAGCTATACAAAACTATCTGTTGGTTTTTCTCTCTCTCTCTCTTTCTTTCTTTCTTTCTTTCTTTCTTTTTTCTTTCTTTCTTTGTTCTTTACTTTGAGGTCTAGTTGAATCTAATCACTTATTTTGGGGTTTGTGAGGTGATCACGAGACATCAGTTGTTTGTAATGTGTGTTCTTCTGTACACTTCTGTTCCCTAAATAAGAGTCTATTCCAAAATTTTTGCCTTAAAGGAGTTCTTCACTTTTTTTGTTGTTGTTAACAAGTTTTAGAATTCACACTTTATTTGTTTTTAATGAATCAGACCATGTCAATGTAGATGAATCTTGTTCACAGGCATCAATAGAGCCAGGTATGACTTGGAAAAAGTTCTCAGGACACTTGTGAACCACCTTCTGGACTACAGAGGTGTGTCCTAAGACAATCACAGGTGATGATGATTCAGAGAGTTATCATACCTGAAACATTCGAGGTATTGAAAGCTAACGTATAATGATGTTGAAGACTTATAGGTTTAGTACGGCCATCTTCTTTAATAATTAATGCTTGTTCTCTCCCTGTCTTGGATTCTAGCAACCATAAAAAATGTTTGTCCTTTAAACCATACAAATCCATCTCTTGTTTTTATTTTCTTTTTTCTTTGTTTGTTTGTTGTCTTGTTTTGTTTTTTCTTTTTAATTTTTGGTCTACTTGAAACTAATCACTTATTTTGGGTTGGGGATGTAATTAGGATGTGACAATAGAGAGCTCTTAGAAGCTTTGGTTAGGGATGCCGAGAGGGAGGCTGAAAAGGAAATTGAATATTGTCATAGGATATTCCGTTCCTACCTTTTAATGGAACTTACAAAAAAAAAAAAGCTGAAGAAGATAGAACTGTTATGCTGACATATTAAGATGATCTCTTTTCAGGGGATAATTTACTGTGATTTTTACTTGCCTCCTTTTTCTGGATGTGAGGTGGGTTTTGCTTTATATCCCATCTGCTGCTATACTAGACACAATTTTTGGTGTTGAAAATTGACCTCACAGCCTTGCACATACCAAACAAGTATTCTACCTCTAAGCTACCTATTCCTTTCCCTGATACCCTTATAAAGTCAGACATTTGGCTCATTTTACAAGTTTGTAAAACTTGTAAAAAACTAAAGTATACTCAGCTTTATAAAGGTTTGCTGGGTGAGCAGAATCTAGGATGGGTTGTTAGAAATAATGAATGAATAAGAGTGTGCTTGCAGGTAATTATTACAGGCCAAGTAACTACTGCTTTAAGGTTTGTTTGTTTGTTTGTTTGTTTGTTTGTTTGTTTGTTTTTTGTTTGTTTTTGTTTCTGTGACTCCCCAGTGATTCTTTCTGTGTCCTCTCTGTAGATCTTTCTATAGACAGTAGAAACAAGGCTCCTACAAGTGCCTTTGTGCTGAGTCCTTGGGAAAAACTTCCCTGATCCAATCTGCCACACTTGAAAAAGAGAAGGTAAGAATTCAAAGTGCTGGGGTTTTTTTGTTTTGTTTTTTGTTTTAAGGCATGCATGCCCTTGTGGGTACTGAGGGATCCTGATAGGCCCTGAAGAAAAAGGATCTGGCAAGAGGAAATTATATTGGGACTTTGGCTGGTCGGAGACATCTATGATATCATGAGTACCCTTCAAGCTACAAATCATTTTTTTCTGCCCCAACTCAGAAGTCATGGCTATGCACCACTACCCAAAGAGGTCATTTTCCTCAGATACCTGTTGATAGACAAAGAAGCCTAAGCCAGTGTGGGGTTTGTTTGTCTGTTTGTTTGTTTGGTTGGTTGGTTGGTTTGAGACAGGGTTTTACTGTGTAGCCCAGTCTGCCCTTCCAACTCATGATCCTCCTGCCTCAGCCTCTTGAGGGCTGGAATTATAAGGCATAGGCTACTATGTTTGACTAGAATGTTGTTTTTGTACTAGTTAATAAGAGAATGTGATATCAGCTTGGCCTATACACTGGACAGTCTGTGTTGAAATCTTCTGGGAAGCTTGCTGGTATTATTCTTTTTTAGATTTTGAAAACTAAATTTTGATAAAATTCTACAATTTTCAAAAATGTAGCAAGATTGGTACAAAACCTCTCTGTATTCCCTTTTTCCAAGGCCACCAGTTATCAGCAGTTTGCTTTCATTCGCTCTTTGTTTCTTTTTACAAATCATTTGAGCATAACCATTGAGAGAGTGGTACTTATCAGAGCCATTCTGACATGAAGACAGGATGCAACCACTGGTATAGCAGAACATTGGTGGTGGCGCAGGCCCCAGAGGTAATGTCTCTCTGTAGCTACCAAGCATATGTTTGTAAATCTAGTGTAGTCCCTGATGTTAGAGAAATCTTGGCCAATCATAGAAGTATTTCTTAAATACTCTTTCCCTTTCACAGTTCTTATCATGTATTCTTCTATGTCAAATGTTAATAGCTTGAAAACCCTCAATTTTGTGAGCATTATTATAATTACCATTTAATTCATTCAGCAAACATATTGAGTGCTTTCTATTTGGTAGGGGTATAAAAGGTAAAAGATACTCATCCTCTTAAGAGTTTAATGTCCAGTGGAAAGAATGTAAAGTATCTTCTAACAAGAGGAAGAATGTTCTGCTAATGGGAACAGTTCTCTGGTTAAGGATCTGAAGGGTAGGTATCTGGAAGCCACTTAACTGGTTGTAACTGTACATATCGATCTTTACGACCTTCTGCTCTTAGATGACAAAGTTCATGAATAAGGAAGGGCATCCTTTGATGTCATACATCCACCACAGGCAATGGAATCAGGCAAACTTGGACTCAAATTCTGGCCCTTCCTCTTGATCTTGGCTAGTTTACTTCTCTGTGCCTCAGTTTCTTCATTTGCCAAATCATATCTGAGGATGGTAGTGAGAATTTAGTTGAAGTAATAGTTGCTCTGTAAAATATTCATTTCATCTCCCCTTACAAAAACATGGTATGTTGGCAATAACATGTAAAATATTAGATATTAAGGTGGGCTCCAAGGGGATGTTTCTGGTTTTTTCAACAGATAAATATCTAATTGCTAGTTTTACTAGGAGAGATAATGGAGATTATCTTGTGGGATAATAAATATAATAGCAACAGCGATTTGGTAACCATTTCTTTTATGTTGAGTACTGAATAGCTCTCTAAGCAGAGACAATCTCTTAGAGGTGAATCTTGAAATGGTGAAGCACAGCCAACTTGCCTAGGGTCAAAGAGCAAGGAAAAGATAGAATTAATTCCTCTGTAAATCAATGGAGTTTCCTTGGAGCCTCAAGAATTAATAATAATAATAATTATTATTATTATAATAAACAAGGTAAAAGGTAAAGAGAAGAGATTGCCAGGCAGAGGGAATAGAAGGTGTTATGATAGCACTGAGGTGGGAGAGAGAAATAAAGGATTCACAGATGTTTGGCTGCATGTGGGAAAAGAGAGATGAGCCAGGCAGAAGATTGACAGGCTTTGTGGAACCTCATTAAGGAGCTTGCGCTTTATTCCAAAGATAGCCAGAGGCTACTTGAAGATTTTTTTTATTAAACTTTTTCTAAACTGAGTGTGTGTGTACTTCAAAAAGTATTCAGTGGAGCCTAAAACAGGTTTAAATCATTTCTTCCATGTTTCCATTCATTTCTTCACTGTTTCACTTGCATTCCAATATAGGTGATGTTTCTGTGTAAAACCTACACCAAAATGTAGGTAGGTGACTTTGACTATCTTCTATGAATATTGGTAAGAAGAGTTGCCATGATGGTAAAAGAAGTGGCACTTCAGAATGCTGGTAGAAGTTTAATTAGGTTTAATACCTCTTACATTTTAGGCTGCACTAAGGGAAATCGTCCAGTTTTCATTAAGCCCCGTGAAATAGACAGCAATTGAAATTGAGAGAAAAAGTAATTTATGGAAACCTGGATTTAGCATTGTAAATGGAATTGTGCATTATAAGGCTTTGGTTTAAATATATCATAATTAGATACTTCTGTGACTAAATGGAAATTTGTCATTTTTAAATTTTGTGTATGTACCATCTGTGATGGTAGACAGCACATTTGTGAAACTCTGGAAAGACTGTAACATTTTTCTACTATATTTTTTCATATTTTCATTCAGGTACTAGAAGGTTTTAATATTTGAAACTGTTTATATGTACAGCATAAACCTCACAAGAGAAAATTGGTGTTCTCTTCCCCTTCACAGACATACTTTCAAACAGCCTGTGCTAGTTAGCTTTTAGGGATTAGAAAAAAGTGCTTAATTGGTGACTTGATGATTTAGGATTGGTAGACTAGTTTTTTTTTGGAATTAAACTCTGAATTTGGATAGCTCATCTCTATGTGGTCTCTTCTAGGTGGTTAGTCTGGACTTATTAACAGAGTCTTAAGAGAGAGAAGCAAGGGAGAACAAATATCAACCAGTACATAAGTACCTTTTCAAGTGTCTGCTCCTGTCACACTTGCTATTGTTCCATTGCTAATCACAAGAGTGCTTTTATGAGCAAGTCAAGAGTCATTGTGGGAGACCTTTCAAAGAGTGGGTGGGTATAAGGAGCTGTGAACAAATTGGTAACCTTTACAGCAATAATGCATAATAATTGGTAATGAATGGAAAGCCATAGGGAGGCAGTATGGTTTTGGAAGTAGATATTCTCAGAAATGGGTCAACTGTTCTCTGCTCTTACATAGCTTTTATGGAAAGGGCTCCCATGTTTCCTCAACACCCATTCAAGTTTTATCACAAAATCTGTATATTACATTTTGTCGTTAAGAAAAATGACGTGGGAATCTTCCATTCATCCATGTGATGAAAGAAACATTGGCAATTTTGCCTCAAACCCCTCTCCCCTTTGTTGGTATAATGTTCTTGTGGAATGTATACAATTTACCCTTGTTCATTCAAATGCTGATTTCTCTACCCCAGTATCTGGTTTCAATCCTACATTGCATTGTGACTGTCTCAAGTTTGTGTAAACTTACCAACATTTGTTCTCTGTAATTGTCAATTAAACAACCAGCCAGTGCTGTGCAATGGTGAGAATAGGGTGGGACAGCCTGGTCTTGGGGGGAGGAGAAAGAAGCAGGTGGGAGGAAAGGAGAGCAGGGATTGGCAGGAGAGGACTTCGAACCACAACGAGAGATGAACCAGACCTAAGGTATGACTAAAAGCAAGTATAATGGGTGAAATCTGAATGGTAGAAAACTGTGCGGGCTTGGAGGTTTAGGATGAAATGACTATTGCCCAGCATTGTGCTCTAGGTTAATTAAATAAATCCTAATCTCTGTATAGTGATTTGTGTATACAGCTGGTTTAGGCATAACTGCTGTTTAAGTAAAAGGTAAATCAATAATAAATATTAATAACCCACAACATTCTTTTAATATAATTTTTACCTACAAGAAGAAATCCTTATTTGGCCATTGTAATATGGACAAAGGATTCTTTGTAAATATGTTTTATTTATTAAAATTTTAAAAATATTCCTGTGGTTGCAGTGAGGAATCCAGCATCATACTGTGGAGTCCACAGTCCATCATTTGGGGGCATTAGGCTTTGACCTTTGTTCTGGAAGCTCTCAAAGGTAACATTCTTTACCTAACATTTTTTTCAACAGCATGAGGACTAAAATTTATTCTATAAAATGTAATGATCCTTGGACATGTGGGAAACTGAGTAAAACACTCATTTTGTGCAACATAGGAGTGTGTATTCCTCTTGAAAATTGTGTGATGATAGAACTTTTGATTCTCTTATTTCCTCATAGGATAAAAATTTAGAATTCCTGATATCTAAGTCAGAAACTTGAAAAGAGCCATCCATATTTATAATCATAGTATTTGACTTAGCACTTTATCTAAGAATTTATTATATGTTAATTGAAATATAGTAGCAGAAGATTAGTGATATGTTGAGTATCAGTCACGACTTAGTTATACTAGGAGTATTACACTGTATATTAGAAACAGAGTAGAGCATGTGTTACCATTTATGTAAAATATAGTGAGTGAGGGCTAAGTATATAAATTTTTGCTTACATAGATATGAAATATCTCTGAAGAGATGTTCAAGCACTAACAGCTCAGGAGGCATACATGACCTGCACTAGTGGTTGAGAGTGAGACTTTTTTCACTGCATAAGTTCATATGTACATACCTTTTGAATCTTTTAAAAAGATTTATTTATTTTACGTATATGAGTGTTGTATCTGTAGGTCACTTGCATGCCAGAAGAGGACATTAGATCCCAGTATGTGATCTAACGTATAACCAATTCTCGTGTGGTTGCTGAGAATTGTACTCAGAACCTCTGGAAAAACAGACAGTGCTCTTAACCTCTGAGCCATCTCCCCAGCTCCCTTTTGAATTTTAAGATGTGTTATTTTCCTATTTCAAAAACTAAGTGTATTTTTAAGAAGAGGTGATACATAGTAATGGGAATTCCCATGACTTCCCAACTTGACTTGATCAGATTTTT